AAATATGTTGTGTTTGAGTATATTCATTTAATTGATTAAGATTATTATTTATTGTTTGACATTCTTGATCAATAAAAAAATTTTTATCAAATTCTATATTATAATTTTCAATTGAAATTTCAATTTCATTTGATATTGGTAATTCTTCACTAAATACAATTGGAAGAATAGCTGTATTAGGTGTATCTATATCAAGATCATATTGAGTTGATATATCATTATGAAAAATCAAATCAGTTTGAATATATTGATCATTATATATTGTAGACTAAATAGAAAAATTTTTAGTTTTTCTAAATGACTCATTTTTTTCTTCTTACATTATTTAATGATGATTGTACAGCGATATCTTGTGTTAATATAGGTATTGTTTCAATTTGTTGATCAATATATTCAGGTGTTATTTGACATGAATAATCATTAGTAGAAATTAAATCAGTTTGTATTATTTGTGTATGATAATCTGTTATAATTGTTTCAGTTGTTTGATTATTTGAAATAGGTATAAATTGACAAGAAAAATCTTTTTGTTCATTTGAAATAGTTTGAATTGAACAATCATTTAAATTAGGATTTATTTGACAAGCAATTGTTTCTCGAGATATAATATCTGTTTGTATTGATTGATGTACAATAAGAAATGGAATTGTTTCAATTTCTTCATCTTTATATAATGGATTTATTTGACAAGAAAAATCTTTTTTTTCATTAATTACAAAAGTTTCTGATTGAGTATAAGCATCAACAAATTGTTTTTCTTGTTGTTGTTGAAAACCAAGACTTGTTGTAAGAACAAATGAAGAATCATCATCAAAATGAGCAAGAGGTACTGTTGGTTTAATTGTTCGTGTAGGTCCAAGTGGTGTTGAAACATATTGACGATTCGATAACGATGAACATCGACTAGGTAAACGAAATTGCATTGATGTACTACCACCAACATTAACTCCTGCACCAAGTGTTGATTGAAGAAGATCAGGTGCAAGATATGGAGTAACTTTAGTTAAATCATCAAATGCATATGTATTACTTGATTCAGTAGAACTATTTAAAATAATAAAATGAAATATTATGGAAACAAGCAAGCAAGTTACAGAAGATTTTGTTTTGTTTTTATTCTGTATAATAAGCAGACAATTAGTCTTAAGGATTAGTTAATAATTAATAAATCAAGAAGCTTTTCTGATTTAATACATTCTTATTTTAAAGATCACAATGACTGGAATGATGTGCAGTATAACTAGAAGGAGAACATATTGTAAGATGTCTGAATATGATGTTGCTTCTTTTTTTTTTCTTGTATTTTTGGATAGAACATCGAATGTTTGATTGAAAGAAAATCTTTGCATCATGATTATCTGAATGGTGTTTTTTTTATGCTTTTGATTTTTCTATCGTTTAGTTTGCAATGTATCAAATGAAATACTATTTATGTCATTTTTACCTTTCACTGGACATGAACAACCATCACGGTCTAGAGAAAATCATTACTGAATCTATTCGTATCACATCTAGAAAGAATTCATCAATACTCGCTTTTTTTTGTTTGATATGATTTATAAGATAATTCGTTTAAAATCATAGTATATTTAGGTATAATTTTTAGTTCCGATTGAGACAACTTTTTTCTCGTAGGCTCAGTTCTGGTCTCAGCAACTTCTCTTTCCTGTAGTTTCACACATTTCTACTCTTGATACATGGCTACAATCATTAAAACAAGTTTTTATCTGAAATTATTATTTTTTATATCTGTTTTTGTCTAATAAAATTATAGTTTCTTTTTACGGGTTGTAATATTAATTTTTAGACACTCAATTTTAGTAGAGTGTTAGTAATACACCAACAAATACAACGATTCAAATCGGGATGAAGTCTGTAAGTTATGGATCTCTATGGACTAAGATCGAATATATAATTTATTTCATGAAGAAATCTGCTCAAAGCATCGTATCACTCTATGATGAAGATTATTCAATAAAAACAAAACATTCTCGTTTACAGTACAATAACATCGATAGCTTACCTAAATGGACTCAATTCACAAGAATTTCTCTAAATATAAATCAATATCAAATTATTATTTATAAAAATTCGTTTAAACATACTTCTTTAAGCATAGATAATGTTTTTTCATAGATATGACATTGACGTACCATATCTCTATTTAAACAAAAAATTAGTTTACAACAAAAAAAAATTATCTAAAGAACAACTTACTGATATTTAGCATCAATTTTTTTAAATTCAGTCGCTTCATGTATAAACATGATTTCAACTGAATGAAATAAACGTTGTAAATAAGGTTTAAATTTTCCATAGCCCATTTTATCCACGATGGATATATAACCATCTTTTAATCGCTAAACAAAAGGAAAAAAAAGAAACTGAATCTTCTTCCTGTATACTTATTCAATAAATTACTTTAAGATTAAATAAATTATCATCATTAGTTTCATCTTCCATACCAGTAGAAGTATTTTTTTTCTTTACTTCATTATCCATAGTTTTTTTTTTTCTAATTGATTTTTTTTTTCTTCATTAACGAACATACCGATCGATAGATAGATTGAATGGCCGGGTGTTCTTTGTTCGCGGATAAGCATAAAAAATATTATTCATTTTATTAATTTTTATTTACATTTCAAAATAAGAAAGTAAAAAATTAAAATAATTTATTAAATATAAAATAATAAATTTATCACATTATAGATGGTGCTATTAGACAATTGAGAGAAGAAAGAAAAAAAAGGTGTATAGTGGTCTAATGAATCATTAATATGCATTTTTTTATCTATACAGCAGAAAGAAAATATAACGTGGGCTTTAGATTGTCATGAGCCCAGGCTGAAAATTAAAGTTGTTCTTTCAATTCAAAATGGCAAGATCAAGTGAAGTATTTCATTTTAAAATTCTGATTATTGGCGAATCAAGTGTTGGCAAAGTTTGTTTATTTAATCAAATTTTGTTTTTATTTATATTTTTTAAAATTTTTAGAGTAGTTTAATGACTCGTTTTGTTGATGACACGTTTCAACCAACATTTTTTCCAACAATTGGAGTTGATTTCAAAGTTCGAACGTTAGTTATTGATGATCATCAATGCAAAGTTCAGATTTGGTTAGTTAAAATTTTTTTCATTTTTTATTTAAGAGAAAACCTTGAAAATCTTTAGTTTTAAAAGAACACAAAAAAACACATTCTATGAATATTTGCATATACCGATAATACATAGGAATAGTGCTATGTTAAAGATTTATTATTATTGTTTTGTAGCGAATGACAATTCAAAAAGCATTGCACGCATTCTGTTCATGCTGTATATTCGAAAATAAATTTTTTTTTTTGAATTAAACTTTGTTTTTAAAAGCTCCATTTTAATTTAACAAATTCGAGATTTTAGTAATGATAAATAAGAATTATAGACATATAATTATTAGACATTTATTTGTAATTAGAAAAAATTATTGAAAATATTTTATGATTGTTGCTCATGTGTAAATAGCATAGTTTTAAAATGTATTTTGATTTTATAGAATTGTTCATAACGAAAAGTTTAAGCAAACAATCAATCACTTTATGATTATTCGCTTGAATAATTTTGCAACGAAGCATTTAGATTTAAAATATCAAATTTTTTATATGTTTCATCATAGATGTGTCTCGATTTCAGTCTTAACAAATGTTTCGATAACACGATAGTCTAGATATATCTCTATTCCACTATCGGTAAGTTTTACTACTACATTGCAACTGATTTGATCGATATTGTTGTGTTTCTTAAAAGTTTATTTCGATGTAAAATACTGACAACTAGAAATAGAAATTAGTAAAATGATTGACAGATTGCATAATAATCAGTCTTTTATCTACAATAGAGATTGAAAGGGCAGCACTATCTCGAAAATCGAATTAATACTTTGGACGAAGAAATCTAGATAAAATACTGATAAGATGATTTAACTTACTGAGATTTAATTTCTAAGATTTTTTGTGCGAAGTGGTCTAAAGAATTAAAGTGAGTAGATATTCATTGAGTATTCTGTGTCAAAAAACGATAATTATTTTAGTAAAATTTTTGTTCATATCTTTATCATCATATTAAATCATAATTGTATTCTTATCATTATAATAATTTATCTATTAAGGGATACGGCTGGTCAAGAACGATTTCGTGTAATAACAACATCTGTAAGTCTTTTCATTGATTATATATTCAGTGGTGTTGTTTTTATTTTATTTTCTTTTTCTTTTCTTTTTGTTTAGTATTATCGTGATGCAGCTGGTGTTTTAATTGTTTATGATGTTACTAATGGTGAATCGTTTTCTCGTATTCGTCGTTGGATAGATGAAATAAATAAATATTGTGATGATAATATGGCTAAGGTACTTGTTGGAAATAAAGATGATAGTCCATCATCAGATGGTAATCATATACAAAAAGTTGTATTAACATCTGATGCTCAACAATATGCACGTCAAATGAAATTAACATTTTTTGAAACATCAGCAAAAGATAATAAAAATGTTTATGAAGCTTTTTATGCTATTACACGTTTAGCATTATATCAACGTTTAGAAACTCGTGCAAAAACACAAGCAATGCAACATAATGATATGACAAATGGTTCTACAAGATCACACACTGTTCGATTAAAACCATCAAAAAAATCCAAGAAAAAAATAAAAATTCATAGTGGTGCATGTTGCAAATAAATCTTTCGTTTTTTTTTCTTTTGTTTTGTTTTCGTAAATTAAATTCTGTGTTTTCTTTCTTTTCTCTTTCACATTCCATTACAATTTTGGTATTCTGAACCTGTTATCTCGTACATATCATCTTTATATAATACTTTATTTCTCTTTTGTTCTTTCATTATCTTTGTCTCACTTTTACAAATTCATAAAAAAGAAATGAAATTTTTCATGAAATGATTTAAGACAAAATATAAGTAATATGTAAAAATTAAGAATAATTTAATAAATTATTTGTTTTTCTTTTCAGATATGGCATCAACAAAAAAAAGTCTTGAAACTGCTCAAACATTTAAAATTCTTATTATTGGAGATTCCGGTGTTGGAAAAAGTTCATTAATGGTTCGTTTTGTTGATGATATTTTTACAGCTGCTTATATTACAACAATTGGTGTAGATTTTAAAATGAGCACAATTAATGTTGATGGACATGAATGTCGAATACAAATATGGTTTGTTCCTTTGTTATTTTAGAATTAGAAGAAGAAAGAAAAACACCAATTATTAATGAAAAATATTTTCTTTTCAATCTAATAGATTTTTAGTATTTCAAAAAAATTTGTTAATGAATTTTTGTGATGTTGATAGATCATATTCAACGTTTCTAAACATTTATAATATATTCTTAAATGATATAAACTATTTCAAGAATTTATTTGTATAATTTTATAATACATTTATATCAATTTTAAAGGTTTTAATTAGACTTGTAGAATATCACTAAACTTTAGATTTAAATAATTTAGAAAAACTCTTATTCTTTGTTCTAATTATTATTCTACTAATTTAAAACTGTTAAATAATCATAAATTAAAAATTACAGTATAGGTCATAAACTTTGAAGAATAGTGATTCAATATTAGTATTCACTTGTTAGATATATAAATAGTATTAATCATCATTATTTGACAAATATTATTGCACTTTACATTTGATATACTATTTAATTTAATATATATAAATGAAACACGTCATTTGACTTTTTCAAATGAATTATTTTTTATTTAATGAATTTATCATCAATTTTTCTTTCTATTATCTATTTAGGGATACAGCTGGTCAAGAACGTTTTCGTGTTATTACTAGTAAATAAAAAAAAAAAGACCGATTCTTCATAAAAATCAAAAATTCTATTCGTCTTTTTTCAATAGGTACATATTATCGAGGTGCTGATGGTGTAATTATTGTTTATGATGTATATATGAAATTCTATTGTTTTATTTCTATAATTGACCTTATCTTATTTTTAAGGTAACAAATGGTGAAAGTTTTGCTAATCTAAAAGATTGGATCACTGAAATGGAACGTCATTGTGATCAGACTGTCCCAAAAATTCTTGTTGGTAATAAAGATGATGATGATAATGAAATGGGCAAAGTTGTTCTAACTTCTGATGCACGTGCATATGCTGAACAAAAAAATTTACCATTTTTTGAAACATCAGCAAAAGATAATAAGAATATAAGTCTAGCATTCAATGAAATAACTCGACTTGCACTTAAACGACGTCTCAGTCAACCTAATAATGCACAATCGGCTACCGGTGGTAAACCCATTGGACTAAAACGACCAAATATTGGTGTTGTACAAAAGAAATGTTGTACATGAATGAAATATTACCGGTTGATTTGTTTCTTTTTTTTCTTCTTTATTGTCTGCGATCTATTTCGACGACTTTATATCGAGTGCAATATCAATACTAACATTTTTTTTGTTTTTTTTGTCATCTCTTACATATTCAAACACTTATTAATGATTCTCTTTTTTCCTTTCAATCAATCTTTTTAGAAAAAACAACATACGACAAACAATTAACAAATTTTGGTCTCTCGTTCTTTTTAATTTGTAAATTTTCATGATTTCCATACATGGAGATCAGAATGATAATTTTTTTTCTTAATAGTGTATACGTGTGTGAATCTTTGTTCATTCGTTTTTGTTTCTGCTGATTATTGACATTTAGCGATTGTATTTGTGTGTATGTATGGAGAATATTCTTTGTATTTGACTATGAATTTTTTAACAGTGAAAGAAAAAAAAGAAACGTTTTTGTCGAAATTATCTATACAAGAGATAAATTGATTAATTATTCGTCATTTCATTGGCAAAGATTTTTGTGACATAAAGTTATACAAATAGTAATGGATGACTTAGAATATATAACAGTCTCCATACTTCCTTAATATTTCTGTTTGCTTTCATAGTTACGGACCAGAAACCAAAGCGAGTCAGAAAAACAAGGATTCGACCTGACTCGATCTACATTTGGAGAGGATGCGACTCGTCTCAACTCAAAAACATATATTATTATTATTCTTGTATCACTGATTCTTAAGACAATAGAATAACTAAAGCCGACGATATAAGGATAGGAAGATGATTAAAGCCTTCCTGGCTAATTTTCAACTATTTTTGGAACTAGGGAGAACTCTACTGTATATTTAGTGACTGAACAAGGAACGTCGCATGTTAGGACAAATGTGAGATATTGTAGGAGAAAATAACTGTGTATTTAGCATCGCTGTCACTTATGTTGTCATAACACAGTTGTGACTAAGAAGATTGTATGCTGTTTCATGTATTCGCTACAGAAAGAACTAACTATTACCTCCATCCCCTGTCTGAAACTACTAATTTGAAAATTTTTAGTATTAACAATAACCTATAACTTGAAAAATTTCGCCAGCTACCCCATCGAATAGATTGTTTTCAAGAATAAGTACTAAAATTATTTTGTTCCAATTATTTGGCTATTTTGTAAAATTGTCAAAACTAGTTCAAATTGTGAATAAAATTTAATCAGAATAACTAAACCCCCTCCCATAATAGAAGCCCCCGGGAGCTTCTAAACTGCTCACCATCCAAAATTTTCGGAGGGGACTTCTATTAAGTCCCAAATTTTTTTAATAGTTTTAGATGTAAAAAGAATTTCAGGGATTTTTAAGGTTTTCTAGAGTTTTTCAAACGATTTCCAAGGAGATTTCGAGATTTTTACGCTAGTACATAAGGAAATTAAACAAATTCTTATCTTAAGATCTTGAATTTTGACGGTTTTGCGATGAAAATACTAATCAAATTTTTCAAAAAGTTTGTAAAATAAGGGGGGCTTCTAATACATCTTTCATGTCGGTCCTTCGGAGGGGGCTTCTAATAAGGGAGGGGCTTTTAATATGGGAGGGACTGCTATTATGGGAGGGGGTTTAGCAACTTGACAAAAACGGCAATTAATACTAAAGAAATCAAAACACAACAGTGTGTAGTCAATAATGACCGATGTAGAAGACAAATTAGCGGAGAAAGTAGTATCACGTTTACACTAGTCGAACTCGTAGACATATGGAAGTCTGAACATTTGCAGATTAGAGGCAGCAAAAGTAACGTATATTTTAGCAGACAATGTGAAATAAATAAATCCCTCTCACTTCCTCAAATTGATCGCTGTTATGAGAATGGAATCGATTTCTCTGTAGAGTCAACTGATAAAATATATCAGCAGTGCCTAAAAACTCGAGTTCTTCGAGTCTGATTCGACTCGATTTCGGTCTGTATTACGGACTGAATTCTGTTGAAGTTGAAGCAAACTCGTGTTTCAGTTAAAAAACTTTAGATAAACTTTGAAATAACGAGCAAAGAAGCCCAAGTGTGAGTCTCCATTTTTAATCCGCTTTGTACCAGTGGATAGAATTTGATGAGCTGATTGCAATGGCGTAAAGCGTTCTTCTGCATAGACTGCTTTAAGAAGTTAGTCCGATCTCAACTAAATTAAAGAAAAATTACTGTAAGATGTTATCTTGAAATTTTTATTTTCGTATTAGCTAGATTCTCAACATTCAAGACTTTAATACTGGATGCGCCTTTATTGACTGTGCACATCCACACAATCAACATAAATAGAAGTCTTAGTCACGTCTATACTTTCAATATTTGAATACTATTAATATTGTGAATGTACTGAATTCAATTATTCTTTTTCTATACTCATCTAATTCCAATTGCACTAGACTGGAAATAATGTTTTGCCAGGGGAGTACCACTATAATTTCAAATAGAGTAAATAATGAATTTTATACCAAACGAAAACCCGTCAAAAATGGGATTTATTGGTACTAAGCAATAAGGGTTATGGAAACTTTCATATGTGGAAATGTCTAAACTTAGGAATTTTCACCGATCATATGTATGAGAAAAGTTATTGATGGGATAAAGTTGGAACTAAATGTGATACAAAATTCTTTATTTTTTCATTATTTAACGAATACAATCAATAATCAGTATGGTGACCGTTAGCGTTCTTTACTCCATGCAGTTGAGATAGGTACGAACATAGAAGAGTTTCAAATAAATCAATGCCGGTTTCCATGTTTATCAAAACATCTGAAATGTGCATTTTGAGTGTTTCTTCAAGATAACGAGAATGTCCAGTTCCTAATAACATTTTTTTCAACTTCATCTTTGATCATTGTTCACATACGATCCGTCACATTCAGATCGGGTGAGTTTCCAGGCCAAATATTATTACCCCAAAACTTAGCATCGTTGTCTTGAAGCAAATGTTGGATCTGATTTGTTCGTATACATGGTGCTTTATCATGGACCAATATAACTTCATCGGAATCGATCATATTTTCTTCTTTTCTTAAGAACGGAAATACTTTTTCAGTTAAAATTATATCACGAAAATATTGATCAGTCGAAGATTCATCTTTATCTTTGATTACCCAATGTAAACTCTTAGCAGTGAATATAACAAAAACCCCAATACATGTTTGATTTTTAACCATTTCGCAATAACATACATCTACTTCACTATCGTCGATACTTTTTGCCTAAATTTGGCTATGCTGATAATTTGGTCGACGAACAACCCAGACAAAAAATTCATCGGATGATGCGAGATGAAGAAAATCCTCTTCGGTCCAATCTTTTAATCAATCGCACATTCATAATCGATCAGGTATATGAGTTTTCGATTTTAACGGTTTTGGAATAATATGGAACGACTTTAAACCTTCTCAATGATGGTAGTTATTGATTGTTCTTGGCACGACGTACTCTTTTTGCTTTTGTACAATTTACTTCACTACAACAGAACAATTTTTTCTTTGTCGATCACGCACTTTAAGGATGATGTCTTGGCTTGCTTGTGATAATTTAAGCTTACGACCAGCATTTGAATAATCAGCAAAACATTGGTCATATATTTTCCCACTAGTCTGTAACAAATCAAATCAAGCGATGAACTTTCTCCGCGACCCAATGTTGATTAATAAATGTTGTACCAGCATATCGAGCTTCACGAAAAGCGATGCATTTAATTCTGTCAATAATTCTCTGCTCTTCAGTATCATAAGTATCAGCCATTCTAAAATAATTAGATTTAATTGATTCACCGAAAGGATACATTTTGTTTTAATGAAAGATAGCGATCAGAAAATGACCATGTATATTGTTTGATAAACTTCTTGAACTTTCCTGTTCTATAATTTTCTAAGAGAAGAAAAATAAAAAAATCTTTTTTTTCACCGGCATCATGGGGAACAGATAACAGGATGCAAAAGGACAATCGCACCTTCTGAATCATAGTTAAGTCTTATGATCACTAGAACAATGCTTTTTTCAGTTTTTCCAAAGAAAATTTCTTTTTTTCTTTGTCTTACGACTCGGTAAAAATGAATTATAACGATCGTATTATGCAAAATTCTCTAAACTTTGAGAGTTTCAGCATACAAAAGTTTCCATAACTCTTATTGTTTAGTATCAATAAATCCCATTTTTGACGGGCTTTCGTTTGGTATAAAATGCATTATTTACTCTATTTGAAATGATAGTGGTATCCCGCTGGCAAAATATTATTTTCAACCTAGTATGTATCATGTTATGTCAAACTTTTACTGAAGTTTAGTGCAAACAAAGACGTTGTCGAATTTGCGAATATATTCAATAGAAATCTAGTTTGTCAGAGAAAGTTCTAACCAAAATTAAAAAGAATCTTTAAACTTATGTTTATTTCAGTAGTATTTTTTTATGACTTATATTTAATTGAGCAATAAAATAATTTAAATGAGCAATAATGAAATTTAGCAATAATTATATGGAATGAGCAATAATTATATAGAATGAACAATAATTATACTGAATAAGTAATAATTTATTTAAATTAAAGGTAAATTTTATATAAGATAGATTTCATATAGAAAAAGGGTATTATAGTGTGAGTCGCTTATATATCTTTTTTTTTCGGTCTTCTCTTCTACAATGTCGTACAGATGACAAGTACGACACATATATGTTTCAGTTGACTTTAAAATATTTCAAAGTCAACTGCGACATATATATATCTTTTGTTTTCTTTCTCTCTTCTTTCCTTTCCCTCACCTGAATATTTCTCTTCTCTTGATGTTGTTCAGATATATTTCCTTTTTCGTCATGTTTTCTTACTAGGGTATTTGGTTTTTTTTTCTAGCTCATTTATATACAGTATGTAAAAAAATTATTTGGACACCTATCTTAGCTAT